GATTATCTCTTAGCAGCATCGTTATGTTGGTTAGTCAGTGGACTGAGTGCTAATACCTCTTGACATGGAACATATGTGGAAGCTGCACGTGCTCATGGAAGAGGGGTTGGGAGAGGGCCTCGTAGGGCTGACACTTGGAAGTAAATATAGAAGGTGATGTCTGTGCACTCCTGCTGGATGTGCCATTCTCCTTAATCCCCTCTGAAGGGAGCGTGGCTTTTTGTTTTGTTATGTTGTAGAATCGTCACTAGCTTAATGGGAGTGGCCACAGAAAACATACTGCCATCTCCTCCCATCAGCATTGGGTGATTCCCAAGGTCCATTAATGGGCATCAGGGTGGCATAATGAGTGGGAGCAAAGCCCTTGTGCTAAGATAACATGGATCCACTTCTCAAACTGCCACTTACTACTGTGCAACTTTGGTCACCGGTACTCAAGTTTTCTGTGTCCCAGCAGTTTTCTGTGTCATCTGTCTGATGGAGATAACTCTTACTCTCTAGTGGGGACATTCAGTGGGTTAGTGTTTGTAAGGTGGTTGGTGGGTGTTTGATCACACATTATGCTTGTTACATGTTACGTCATGTGGTCCTGCTGTTCATCTGGCCTGTCCATCTCAGCCCTTCTCTCTCCTTTTGCTTATAAGACCTTCAAAAGAGGCTCTTTGGGAGGTGGGTCTGGGAGCAGGTGGCCCCAAAAGATGGCTGGATTTGCTTCTGGGGGAAATATTTATGAGCACAAGATGCCCTCAACCCCCAACTCACTGGATCCAACAAGAGATCAAGCTGAAGGTCTAGTTGGGATGTCAAAGTTTTGGCTTTGAATATCAGGCAGCCTTTCAAATGAGGCAACCTGGTGCGTCTCATCTTGCATGAGGGTTGCTGCTGTCTCTGCTTCATCACTGTCCCCTGATCTGCCCAGGGTAGAGTGAGAATTCAGAGGAGCCACGCATACTGCTCCCAAGTCAGCATGTGGTTAATGATCGCTGAAGGTTGAAATGCTGCTTCGTATGTGTGTGTGTGAGCCCCTCAGTGAAGAACCTTCCACTTTGTGCCAATGGAAGTTTGGTGAGCATCCCAAAAAGCATCCCATCTCCAACAACTTGGTGCCAAGTCCTTCCTAAGAGTTGGCAGGATTCCTGATGGCTCCAGACAACCAAACGGCGAGCAGTCTTCCTGACCCAACCAGACCTCTGCCCACCTGGTGCATTCCATGCCCAGGTGCATTCCAAAGCTAGCAAAAATAACCACTCCCAGAGACCAGGAACATGCTTCACTGGGCATGGAAGAAAGAGTATGGATTCTCTGTGGTGGATAAAAGCTGAGGTCTGGAGTCAGGCTGGTATGTTTCACTTACTGCTTGGTCAAATCTGCCACCACTCGGACCCTCAGTTTCCACACCAGCAAAATGAGGACAATCTGAGTGCTGCTGTGAGGCTGAAATAAAATACTGCGTGGAAAGTGCTTTGGAAAACGCTTGGCACAGGGCTGCACAGAGCCGTGGTCCCTAGAGATGTCACTGCGTTATTAGTATCATTTCAGCAGCTGCACTGCTGTTGTTCCTCAAAGGGAGATGAAATAGGACAGACCCAGCAGCCTTGAGGGGAAAAAGAGGGAAAACCGATCTCTCCAGGGAAAGAGACAGAAGGCCTGTCTTGAGGAGTTCTTATGGAAATGCTGAACCCCATTACAAATAGTTGTTTACTCTCTGTTTGCTCCACACATGTTTTTTCAGTTCCCCTCCAACTCTTGTCCATGTACCAGGTAGCTCAGGGATCCTTTCGTGGAAGACAGATGGAGTTGAGTAGCTGCCAGCCTTGCTCCCAAAGGAGAGAGGACAGAAGGACGGGCTGTTAGATCTTGCCGGTGCTAGGGATCAGTGAGGCTGTCCTCCGCATCTAAATCAGGATAAGCAGCTTAATTTTATCTCTTCCTGCACCTACGTGTCTTGCCTTAGGGAGCCAAGCATCCTGGGAGGGAGGGAGTGACCAAGAGACTGTGCCCTTTTGTATTTCCGCTTGCTCCCTGCTTCATGCACTCTGCGCCTCATGCTGTCTTTGCCTAGTAATTCCGCCAGCCTGGGGTGTTTTGATGCCTTCCATCTTTGAGATAACACCCCATGCTAAGACATCTAGAAGTAGTAGGGAACAAGGAAAAGCATTTGGATCAGAAAAAGAAGCCTCAGTAGTTCTGATGAGTGAGGAGGGTTGCCCCCAGGAGCATGCAGATTGGCTACCCTTTCAAGGCAGGTCAGAGTCACCACTGCTCTCTCCCTGGGGGCTCCCTCTTTGTCCAGGGTCTAGCATTCCCCAGAACTGCAGCTGGGCTCTTTAATCTGCACTAGGGTCTCAGGTATGAGTGCCCACTCAGGCAAGACAGGCGAAGAAGCTGGTGAAAGGCATCGCTAGGGAAGAGTGAGGACTGTGGCAAACAGGGAGCATGGGTCCTGTCGAAAGGGGACAGCCACCCCATAGCTGCCTCCAGTGGACTCCCTGTTGCTAGAATTTCTGAAATTTTTTTTCAAGAGGAAATAGAAATCTGGGGTGTGTGTGTGTGTGTGTGTGAGAGAGAGAGAGAGAGAGAGAGAGAGAGGGAGGGAGGCAGGGAGAGGGAGAGAAATTTCCCAATTTTAAAACACTGGGAGGGTGAATGAACAGATTTGCATGTGGGATGTCACAATATATTGCAGGGAAGATTCTTTCTTCAGGGCATCAGATTGGTACCTCTGATTTGGTCTCTTTACTGAATTGTTCAGTATTTCCTAGCAAAGGGATCCCCTCTTAAGGCCCTGAATATCAAGGTTTGGAATAAATCATTTACCATGCACTTTATTTTCCTTTGTAAACAAGCACACCAAACACCCGTGTGTGAAGGGTCCATTCCTGCCCCATGGGTGCTTAGCCCTGCTAGGTCCCTCCGGCTTTTCTCCCTGTTTCTTTGCTCCTTGGTGTCCTCCTTGGAATGTCCCCAGAATGGATTGACCTTGACTAAAATGCAATCTATAAAGCACAGGACATCCTTGGGGGGGAATGCCACCGGGGGATAGACAGATGGGTGGGGTATATAAGGTGTTCGTAAAGAAAAAAGTGCACCCTCCAGAGACATCAGTTCTCGTAACTACCTCCAGCATGTTCCCTGGAAACGCATGCAACCTTGACCAAGCCACCACATTCTCAGCCTCAGTTCTGTCACCTAAACTTGGGAGGCTGGCTGTACCCATCTGCCTAGGTTACCGTGAGAACAATTGGATGTCAGGAAAGCACTTTGGAAAACAACAAGAGTATTCTAGCTTTTCTCTACTGCAAGGCAGGAGGACATCTGTGTGAACCCTTGGGACCCTGCCCATTATTAGCCAGATTAAACACGCAGCTCTTGTACTTGTCACTGCCACAGCTGCCTGCCTGCACGCAGGCTGCAGGGACCCCACTGGGAGGACGGGCTTCCAGCAAGGGAGAGGTGCTATAGAAGGCTGAGCTCCCAGGGGCAACCCCCCATCACCAACTCAAGTCCCCTAGACCCTGGCATCAGAGCCTGTGGAGGCCAGCCCGTTACGAGTCTCCTGGGCCACTCTCCACGAGAGAAGCTCTGAGCCAGCCTTGAAAGAGAAATGTTAAAAATTTAACATTTTTATTGGTTCGTCTAGTTCTCCTCTCCCCTACGTTTATTGACGAGGGAATGAGAAATGATTTTATACTAGTTAAGAGGGTACAAACAGTTGGTCTAGGATCATAAAGGAAATTCTCAGGACTCAGATTTGCTTGACTTGCCAGCCCCATGCTGGAGAACTCTTCTATAACCCTCATGGCATCACCTACGCTGGACCAGAGTTTCACCTGAAAGGCAGCTTCTTTTGATGCTTTTCTTTTTTTTTTTTTTTTTTTGGTGGAGGGAGGGGTATGCAGATCTAAAACCAGGGAAGACAGGTGCCACCTTAGAGTGTGGTCCCCTGGAGTTGTGTACGGGGTTGGGTATATTTCATAATAAATGCTTGTTGCTGAGCACCAAGAATAAAGGGAATGAAAGTGATGTCATCTGTGACATCAGGGCTTACAGTCATCATAGGTGGGAGGCCAGTGGTAAACAAGGACAAACACCCTGTGATCACAAATGGAGAGAAGTACTATGAAGAAAATAAACTGGAGCTAGGAGAGACAGTCATGGGGGGCTGGGGGTCTTGCTATAGGTGAGGGGATCAGGGCAGGCCTTTCTAGGGAGGTGACATTTAAGCTGATATGTGGGGGAGGAGAAGGAACCACCTTATGAAAGGTGGTAAAGAACGTGTTCAAAGGACCTGGGCCAAAATGCTTATGGGGCGTTTGAGGAACGAAGTGTAGTGAGCAGGGATGCGTGGAGGAGGGGAAAGGGGTAGAGCTTGGGTCACACGGGGCTCCATCCATGTTGCGTGTGTGGGAACACGTGCATGTGTGTCAGAGACAGAGAATGTGTATGTGCACACACCCATGCTTGCCCGTGGATGTATCTTTTCCCGGGAGGATTGGATGACCTATAACTTCCATCACATTTCCAATGGGATCAGTGATTTCACAGAACTCTAAGAAGACTTCTGAATCAAAATTGCCCTTCGTCAGTCAACTAAAGCTTTGAAACAGTTGTGCCAAATGAATTTTTTTTCCCCCATTCCTGGAAGCTCTGTGTTCTAAAGCAGAAAGTCAAGCATGTGTGCTGCCATTTCCAGGCTTCCTCTGAAGGCCTGGGTACCAGGGAAGGCTGCGGGGGATTTCAGTATGTGGCCCAGTATCCTCGGTAGCTGGTGTACAAGTGCCTGGACATGTTTGGAGTTTCGGTGGCTGCGGGAATGCAAGAACCCCCCCGCCCCCCCCCACACACACACACACACTCTAGCGGCAGGGGCCCATGGCTCTCAGGAGAGCATTAGGCTGTCTCTGGAGGAGAGCTCTGAAGCCTGTCTCCTGCATGTTCAGCCCTTGCTCCGTGGGTGACTCCCAGGATCAGTGAGTCACTGGCCTCTCTTGTGCTTGCAGCCTCCTCAATGCCAACAAGATCAACTGCCTGCGAGTGAACACGTTTCAGGACCTGCAGAACCTCAATCTGCTCTCCCTGTATGACAACAAGCTGCAGACCATCAGCAAGGGACTCTTTGCCCCTCTGCAGGCCATCCAGACCCTGTGAGTATGCCCCCTCAAATGCCAGCACACGCGCAGGCAGCCAGTGACCCCAAACACCCAGGCACAGACAGCCCCCAAAATGAAGGCTAGGTGAGCATGTCCCAGAGCATATCTGGAGGCTGCGGTGAGAATGGCCGTAAGCTCACCTGTACTGAGCACCCACCCGGTGCTCGACACTTCGCTGAGCACTTTCCCCGTGTTCAAACCTTTAGATCTCACAGCAACCCTGTGAGGTAGGTGTTGTGAGGATCCCTCATTTCTAGGTGAGCAAACCAATGGGCAGAGAGGTTAAGTAACTTACTCAAAGTTGCACAGCTAGTAAGAAACAGGATCCGAACAGGCTCCCCTGCTCGCTTAACCACTGTACTCTGAGCAGGCCCCATCTCTGCTAATAGCCCGATCCTCCCCACCAACACCCTGCACCACCCTGCAAAATCAACCCTCTGCTACAGGCACTCGGAATTTTTCACCTTCCCTTCAGGAAGCACTTCCTCACTGCAGAGGATCATAAATAACTCCATTAGATAAATAACACCTGAGGACAGATCTCAGCCCATCCCAGGCCTGACCATGAACCTGGGGCTTCTGGATGCCTTCTAAGTCACCTGGCACTCACTGCCCCTAGCCAGAGACAGGCGCCAATAAAGAGCTGAGAACAGCTGCTGCGTGTTGAACACCGACCATGCGCTGAGCGCTGCGCTGGCCCTGTGGAGTTTTCTTATAAGCCGGGCAGAGCCGGACCCACGGTGCTGCCCTGGTGATGATGAGGGTAACAGCAATACCCACTGCTGTATGTGGAACACCCACCATGAGCCAGTCACCCTGCCAGCTGCTTTATGTGCCTGGCGTTGCTGAGCTTAGAGAAATAAAATCCAGGCTGCTGTAAGCACATACCCTGAGCCTGTGACTTTGCCCATCACCGCTGGTGTGGGTCAGAATCGAGGTGAGTGGTGGGTCCTGCCCCAGGTCAGGAGAGCAAGGAGATGGCACCAGCTGATGCCAGCCGCACCTGTGGCCCTCTCTGGCACATAGCAGGCCTCAGGCCCCACCCGCTCTGCGTTCTGCCCGATGAGGAGGGGCCCAGCGCCAGGCGCGGTGGCGGTGGAGAGTGGCACCCCGGGTCACTCCTGATCAATTCTCATCCCTCTCGCAGCCACTTAGCCCAAAACCCATTTGTGTGCGACTGCCACTTGAAGTGGCTGGCCGATTACCTGCAGGACAACCCCATCGAGACGAGCGGGGCCCGCTGCAGCAGCCCACGCCGGCTGGCCAACAAACGCATCAGCCAGATCAAGAGCAAGAAGTTCCGCTGCTCAGGTAATCAGGTTACGGGGCTGGGCCCCACCTTCCGACTCAGTCCTGCAGCCCCGGAGAGGCCAGTAATCCAATCTGGAGGACAGCGAGCGCTGTAATGGCTCCTAGGGAGCATCTTTGCAAATTAAATTGGGAAAATTCAGTTAGTCCTGCAGAAAACCAATTACCTTATGGATTTAAAATAAAACACACACACACACAATAAAAGCATGGGGTGGGGCGGGGGGTGGTGCACAATTTCAGGAGAGACAGAACCCAGGTGGCAGCCTATCTCCAGGGTCAGGTGGAAGCTAGGGGAGGGGCAGCCTTTACACACGTGCCTTTTGGAGGCTACGATTTATTCTTTGAGTCTCCAAAGCGTGCTCCCCAAGTGGCAGATAGGGAAAGAAATGGGTCCCAGGCCAGGCTGCAAGCAGCATGTAATGTTGGGAGGCTCCCATCCCCTCTAAGACCGCCCTCAGACCACAGTTTGTTACAGGTTTCACCGACATTGGCTAGCTGTCTCCTCCACCCTAGACTGGTATAGTCTGTTCATGGAGAAAACAGCAAAGAGTTGTGCTCTCTAGGAAAGCAAAGCCTCAAACCAGTTTCCAAGCTCGTTCTGGAATCCTTCCTCCCTACTGCACCCAGGAAAGACACTGGGGGTGAATGCCAGAGGGGTTCTCAGGTCATCTTGAAAAGAGAAGTAGCTGTCCTTGACCTGATAGCTAGATAAACAGGCAGTTAAAAATGGCGAACATTTGTGCCATTTGCTACTGGAAAAAAATCACCACACTGCCTTGTGCTCCCAATGGTGAGAGATTGATAGTATAATGTGCCGAGATGGGTTGGTGCCAACCATCACAATCTGTGTGTCAGCAAGAGCCCTTCTTCTCCCCTGCCCAAGAGCATCTTATGTAAGCGACTTCTCCCAGGGAGAATGACAGCATGGTCACCGGTCGCTGGGAGAAGACCAGCAGACAGACTTCTGCTCCTTTCATGTTGTTCTTGGCCTCTAAGTCAAATCCTGTAGTCCACGTCTCCCGAGTGATAAACTTTAGCTATGTTATCTTCTTCAATAGAACCTAATACCTCGAGAGGGCTTGGAGATACCACAGGGACTTTGTGGCAAAATGAGGTGTTGGTCCCAATTTGTCTGCCTCAGAATAACAATGTCAGTTTCTTACTTGTGATGAACTCTGTGCTGAGTGCATCTAGTTTGACTTGGTTCTTCCACTAGTCCTGTGAGATCACCCGGAGGAGTCCTCATTCTGCAGCTGAGGGAGCCAGGGACTCAGAGGTAGAGGGCACCCCATGGTCACAGCAAGCAAACAGTGGAGGCAACCCCCAGGTCTGGCTCACTCCTCGACACCACGCAGCATGTAGGAGAGAAGGAGCATTGGGAAAACAGTCCAACTGCTTGGATGACTCTCTTCCTAGTCTATGGTCCTACCCCCACTCCCCAAAACTCTTTCCTTAAGTTCCTTCTTGGGCCAGCAGCATCTCTGGGAGGGAAACCCTCTCCCAGCCCTGGAGTGTCACCTGAGGCACAACCATCCTTCCTCAGGGCCTTTCTCATAATGCACACCTCTTCTTCCCTCTGTCCCCTCTGTTCCTATCCAAGTCTGGGAGTGGGGGGAGCTGACTTAATTAGCTGTAACAAGCAGTTGTGCCCCAGAAGAGGGGGCGATAAGAAGCAGGGGAAGGCAGAGTGCCATTTCCCAGCCCCAACCCCTCAGGCTCACAGGGGACCTGTCAGGAGCTCAAGGATTTGTGTTGATGCCAAGACCATGGGGCCACACAAAACGGGAGGGGGATCGGCCCAGGGTCTGAGGATGGCATCTCCCAGAGACAAAATCTTGGCAGGTGCCTAGGAGTGACTGTGGGCTGGGACTAGGGGTGGCAGGATGAGGGTACAGATGGAATGAAGTAGGAGAAAGACAATAGCAAGCTGACCTAGGGGACAGTAACACATAGTTCTCTTGCTGTGCCACTACCTGCCTACCTTTGCATGGGAGAGATCCTGGCTGCTTTTCCTACGGAGGGCAGGAGTGCTTGGAAATTTTAAAAAGAAACAGAAGCACAGGGTTCTTGGATTGACCCTGTCTAAAAGATTTTTTTTTTTTAAATCAATACTAAGCAGATTATTCCTGTAAAGGTAGGGAACGTCAGAGCTGATGCCTGACAGATAGCATACTATGTGCTATTATTTCATGTAGCTGCAGAGAAGAGAGGTAGAGAGACCTACTGGTGAGTATCAAAGGCCTTGGATTTGACAGACACTGGGGTCCAGGCCCGCCTTGGCTTTAGGGGATACAGAAGCCATAGGTCTAAAGCTTTGTGTTTCCAGGAAGCTCCAGAAGGAGGGTCAGGTGATGCATACTGGAGCTGACAGATAATAACTCTGCATTTTACTTTCCCCTAAAAGCACCCCCATTGCAAAGACAGCTGATGTAATTAGAAGCCAATTTGAGGGCTGCTCCTGCAATGCATAAAGCCCCTCCTTAGGCAGGGCGTCTGGTTCCCAGCTGCCCTGTGTCTGCCTCTATCAGCTGCATCCGCCGCCCTGGGCAGCAGTATCTGGTTAGAGGTGAATGCTGCCAGCTGGGGTAATCTGACCATCAGATTAAGTCCCCCTGAAAAGCCGCCGTCTGGCTGCCTGGGACCCCAAGCCCATCCTCAGGGGAGCACTTGGCAGTTGGAAGATATCTTCCATCACACCTCCTTCCTTTGTGTGTAGCGATCTGTTGGCAAGAAGAAATTCACAGTGAAAAGTACAGAGGGTGATGACACAATATGAGAAAAGATGGCCAATAGCAAGATACTGCTCAGGTCATCACAGAGTTTTAGAGAACTCAGAATTCACACAGTCCCTGCTAGAAATGAAGAAATTGAGGCCTACACAGCAGGAAAGTACTGTCTGAGGTTATAGAGTAGGATTTTCAAGATGAGATCTGAAACCCAGGACATTCAATGTGCTGCGAAGATTTTCTCTCTTGTCCCTCCTTTTTGTTGTTGTTGTTGAGGGAAATCAAAGAGAAGGATTAAAGGCTTGGGGGCAGGGGCACGAAAGGGATGGATTTTTCCTGCTCTGGTACCAAGGCCCTGATCCAACTTGAATGTGAAATCCCAACAACCAGGGTGTTACAGAGCCCTGCATGTCCAGACATCAGAGCAGAGTTGAGACTAGAGTACAACGGCCACTCTAGCTGGTCAGATGGGAGGGCTTTGAAAGAGGTCAGACCTGGGGCTGTGGAGTGACCTTGACTCACTGGTCAACCATTGCAGATAACCTATGCACTGTCAAGATGCTGTGACCATCTCGCCCCAAAAACACATTGCAGGGGAACAGTGACTCCGTTCCTCCTGTCAGAGGCCAAGAGCAGGGAGGATCCCAGTCACCTGGCCCTGACTTCTGGTCTGTTCAAGAAGTACGTATCTCCTCTCAGTGGCTTGGGAGGAAGTTCGTACAAACTGTCGCTGATCTGTTGCAGATAGGGACATGGAGGCTGGACGCCCTCACCTGGGCCCATGGCACCCAGAAAGTTTGGTTGTTGGTCCCTCCACCCACTGCCATGATTCACAACCATGGAGGAAATCTGCCATCAGGAAGGACCCTAGAGTCTGGTGTCTTCCCCCTTTCCTTCCTTCTCTTAGTCTGAAAGAGACTACTCATCGTGATGGGAACTGGTCACTGTCCTCAGACAGTTGTGGCTGTAGGTTTCCCAGTCCCAAATGCGGGGCCCCATTGGCTCTCCCATCTTTCTCCTTGGCTAGGGATGTGTATTTTCTTTCGATACCGTACCCCCCACCCCCCGCCTTCTCCATTACCTGTTGAGTCGTCTGGAATGAATGTCTGTCAGCCAGAGGGTTTCTGGGGGTCCTTGAAGGATACTGAGGAAATTTCTGAGGTATGGAATATGAAAGGGGCTTTTCCTAAAGAAGAGCATTGCAGCTTCGTTAGGCCACTGGGAGTTGTGGCTTGTCTCTTCATGCAAGGGGCTGGGGGAACAGACGGTTATGGATCCACTGTGCTGTGGGGATGGGCCCCAGGACGCAGAGTGTGCAGAAGCTGCTTCTGCTAAGTGTGATGTCTTGGCAGATCAGTGGTACGATCGAGCGGGATTTAGAGGTTCTGTTCAGGCCCGTGATATGACCTGAGACATCTGCGGTCATAACCCATTGTGCCCTGATTCTCCTGAGCAGGGGTGTCCAGTAGTCTCCCGCCCAATCTCCTCCCTTTCCCCTGTGACTGCCCCAGGGCGGGGTCCAAGGGCGGTGGGGCTCCTGTCTTCAGAAGTGTTCCTGTGGAACCCTGCTCCTGGTACTAATCACGCTCCGTGGGGGCCTGCTCCGGCTTCCGCTTCTCCACGCTGCTTCCTCTGAGCGCTCCTGTCCTCTCTCTGACGCTGCTTCCTGACCTTGATTCTGACCAGTCGCCGCGGGGCTTTCCTTTGTGCTTGATCTAACCATGTGGTGGAACGATGGAAACGGAACATGGTTCTGTCAAGCACCGCGGAAAGCTCCGCGCTCTCCTGCAGCATGGCCCGCCGCCACCGCCGCCACCGCTGGACATCTTCTCTGCTCTGGAGCACCGCAGCCCGCCATCTGCCAGACCCACCTCTCCTGGTCTAGCCTCACAGAGGGCGGGGGGCGGGAGCCTCGGAGGATCCGCAGAGACCTCCACCTCCAGGTAGCGGATACGGGCTGAAATGGGTTTGGAGGAGCACACTGGGGACAAGCTAAGATCTAGAACCACATCTCCTACCCCAGATGGAGGCATCACCCCCTCCCCCAGGCTACTCTGGATGCCGGCCAAGGGGTAAAGTAGCTAGGCTGAAGCTCAGAAACCACTGTTTTTCTTCTGTTCAAAGAGAACAGGTACACCCAAGGCCTGTGCCCCATCATTTCATGGAAAAGTCCCAGTGCAAGGTCATCTTCCCAAGTGGTAGCTAACCCAAAGGTCAAAATGCTTTGTGACCTACTCCCTCTCCTCTATCTTTACCAGAAGCATCAGGGATAAATGTGAGCATGAGAATTAGTGAGAGTGGCATGAGTCTGAGACTTTGGATTTAACTCACACCTCCTCCTGGACCCAACCCCCACTCCTCATGACTACATTGGCCCTGGTCCCCATGCAGCCTAAAGTCCAGGCTGTTATCTTGACCTTCCGGGAACAGTTAACATGTGGCCCAAGAGCTGGGCTCCTCACATGGAGCTAGTCCAATGCCACACAAGGGCTGTGCAGAGATCTGCTATCTCTGATAATCAAGAGAGGGATCTTGGCAACCCCCGTTCTGTTTGTTTCTTAGTAAATCCTAGGCTCAGTGTAACTAGAAGATTGTGGTTTTGGTTCATGCCATGAAGTCTGTGTCCCACCCCAAATGAGAGAAAGCCATGCTGGGAACCAAATCCTGGCATAGGCCTGTAAGCCAGCTCTGGCCTCTCATGGTAACATGTGACTTGACTGTCTCCTCTCCCTCAGGTCACCCCTCAGAGCCAGGGCCCAGCCGTTGCTGAGTAACAGAGTCCTGTTGGCCTTTCTGAATGCTTTTACCATTTACTGAGTGCTTACTCTAGGTCAGGTGCTGAACTATTTCGATCATTACCTTGTTTTAATTTTTACAACAACATTATAAGTCCCATTTCACAGATGAGGATATCAAGTCAGAGAGGTTAACTAACTTGCCCAGGCTCAGATGGCTGCTCTTTCCAGCTATAATACTCACCCTTCCTAGCTACGGACAGTCTCATCGCCTTGAATTAGAAAATGAAAAAGAATGATAAGATTGACTTGAATGGATAGGGAGTTGAAAAACATTTTAACACTCCCCCTCAAGCTTGCTTCTGTTAATGGAAAAAAAGTTGAGTAAGCACGTGAGCAAGCAGTGCTGTTTGAATGGCTCCTCCTTCCAGCATGGATATACCAAGATCCATTTGGTACACAACAAATCCCTGATCCTGGAGCAGTCCCCTATCCTGAACAGAGGGGGCATTCTGAGTGCCTTGGCACTGCCCCCACCATGACAGGGGCCAGGCCTCTGGTCCACAATGGCACCTTCACGGGCACCTCCCTGGTTCTGCAGCAGCAGGCTTGTGACCAGGCAGTGCCCAGCTGCAGGCCATGGGCATTTCCCTCTGGTTTCAGGCAGATGGCTGCATTCATAATAGACTGTGATGGGGATAGCTTACGAGGACAGCTGTCTGCCCAACTGACCACCAAACTCCTGGTAAAACCGTTGACATTTTCTAGTCACTGGTATCTAGTCCCCCAGCCTTTGCCCATGAGTGGATAACTGTGTGCCTGGCAATGTTCTCTTGATTCCATTCCTTACTTACAACCCTTTGCTTGTCCACGTGGCTCTCTCTTCAAGCTGACGATCTCCCCCCCAATTCCTCTTTCTGCTCCTTTCCTCCTTTCATCCCACCCACGTTAAGGATATTGGAGGTAGAAGAGGAGAGCTCTGGACACACGTGCATTGGCAGGGCCATGGTCATCAGATAACAGTGAATCTGTGACTTTCATTCGACAAACTGGTTGCCCAAAGAATGACACAAATCCAGACTGCTAAGGACAGCAGCCATCCTGGGCCCAGCACTGACCTCTGCAGCCAAGCCCATCCACAGAGTGGGAGCTGTGGCTCCCTACCTGCCCCAATCCCATGACCATCCAGAGGTTAAGTACATGCTGTCCTGGGAAGTGGCCACAGGGCAGGGATTCGTAATAAAATCGCATTGCTATGGATTTCCACCCCCTGGTCTATTAAAGCTCTCTGTGATCATGTACCAAGTGTCGTTGTTCTGAGCTGCCCGCGTAGAGGGAGGAGGGCTACAGGGGCAGGAACAGGCGAAATGCCAGATGACATCAGCTCTCCCATGACCCATTTCAGCCGGGGCTTTGTTTTATGGTCCTTCTTCAAGTCCTCCGAGATCTCTGCTGTCTGAACTCTCCCCAAAGAGAAGAAGCAGCGGCCTCTTCAGTTACTCCCCTCCTCCTAAGTATTTCTGGCAGTGACAAATATGCATTGAGATTGAAATTGACTTTTAAAGCTCTGGAAAAGTTAAAAATACTTTTGGGTAGTTATGAGCATTAGGCATAACAAATGGCTCCGAGAAACCCAGGGTAGTTTCGGTAATGAAATATGAAGTGATGGGGGTGGCATTTCAGGCTGCCTCTGACTGGGGAAGGAACTCTTTGGGTTACGTGCAAACGCCGTTATTAACATTTCTGGCTGCCACTCAAATAAAATATCACACTCCGACCCCCTCATTACTACAAACCAGGGCAATAACAAAAACAGCAGGGGGGGGATGCTGGAAAGAACATATTAGTCCATTGAATCTAATTGCAAAATCATTTCATTAAAATGGGTCAGCGGTTCCATCGCAGAGGTCCACCAGTTATAATCTAACTATACTACAGAGAGCGATTCCTGCTAACTACAGACGCTCTCACCTTGATTAAAACAAAAACGCATTTAATCGGCGGCAGTCCCCGGCCACATCCCAGCCAGGGTACATCTTCAAGCTCATCGTGTTGAAGAGCAGCACACTGTGCTCCCTCCTGTCTTTCAGAGGCATTTGATCAGTGCCCAGTTTCCTCCACTTTGCAGGGATTCCATTGTAGACACCTTCTGAAAGAAAAATACATGCATATGTCCAAAATGCCCCTTCACGCCGTCACCGTGTAGAACCACTGGCAGGGAGCAAGAGAAGATTGTCATTTAGCAGGGTTTGCAAGATGAAATTCATCCAGGACACAGCATGCTGATGTGTCTGGAGGAAGATGGCCCAGGTCAGAGTTATTCAGTGGGAGGGATGCTGGCAAGCCAAGGGCAAGAGATTTGCATAATGCATTGGATTAGGAAGCAGCCCAGATAACTGCGGGGATATGTGCTCAGATTGTGCTCACACAAGCCTGGGAGTGGAAGGGTGGGATGAAGGAGGGGGACAAGGAGGGAGCAGAGGGAAAGGTCCAGGCCTCTGTCTTAAGTAGAAGACACTTCAGAATCAGAGACTTCATTCCCAGTCAGGAATTGGCATAGGTTGATAAGGTGACGGGGAAGAAACCAAGAGCATGGAAGATGTCTGCTTCCTGCCTCCCATAGCCCTCTGCAGGAAAATGCCAATCAATCTACCTCTGCCAAGTTGGACTCTATGATCAGTTCTAGAAGGACTGGAATAAAGGTTTTGTCAAAATGCACATCTGCAGGAAAGCATAGTATTAATCACACAAGCCTTGGCTTCAGCCTGACTGGGTTCATCCCTCTGTCATATTATCAATTGACCTGAGAGCCTCAGTTTTCTCTTCTATAAAATGGAGTCACAGTGATCTCGAGAGTGTTGCAGGGATCAAATGGGCTCACCCATTTGAAGTTTGATGAATAGTGCCTCGTTCATGGTCTGTGCTCCATAAATGTCAGCTATTATCACTAGCTACACTGATATTTTAATGGCCTCTGATATGCCAAATATTCCACTAAGTTCTTGAAAACAATAGTAGTAGAATCATAAATATTTATACGATTCTTTACCCTTCCCCAGAGACTCTTCACTGCCTCGCTCTTCCTTGCATTTTCACGACCACCCCTGTGAGATAGGGGCAAGTACTAGATTCCCATTTTACATGTGGACAGACTGAGGCTAGTGAGTGCCAGAGCCTGGACAAACCCACTACTGCTAAAACTTCTGAGCTGCTGGTGCCCCACGTTGCCCCTAATGCAGATAAGATCACCAAGGTCTGTCTCAACCAGTTAAGCGCTCCAGTGATGTCCATGTTCTCTGAAACACTTTCAGAAATACTTACAGGACAACTGATATGCTATTACACCTCGGGCAAACATGGACCAAGCCCATGTTTTGTACCTAGCATGGTGCTAATGAAACGTTGGCCCCTGCCAACTAGCTGGTGGCTGGTAGGAGAGCCAGGGTTTCCCCAGTCACCTCCGCTGTGATTGCTGGTCTCACGAGGTTTGCCCAGGTACCAAGCAAGGGATTATTTCCAATCAATAAAGCAGTACCCCTGGACATCTTGTGAGACATCACTTATTGATACTGTTGCCATTACTGTGTGACCTCAGGAGAAAGTCAACGTCAAAAAAATAAATCTTAGTTCCAGCTAAGAACTGGCCTTTCACTGTGGTTGAACAGAGCTTATTCTCAAAAGATCGGGCAAATCATTCGGACCCTCACAAGAGCTGTGCTTGTCTTGACAGTTTTTAAATGTTAATTTATTACTACTGTGTTTTTAAAGAGGATCATCAGGCAACTCTGAGCCAAATTCCCGAGTGTTAGGGCAGTGGGCTTCAAATCCCCAGGTCCCCAACCCTCGTTATTGTCTTCAATGCTGAAATCTAGTGTCAATAGTCATTGACCACCATATGCTGGGCCTCCTTTATTGTTCCCTTACTTGCTTGAAGATAATTGAGTGTGAATCCCCCTCCCTTACCTCATCCTCGCCCTGACAGCCCTCATCAAAACCCCATCAGAATCTCTTCATTTGGACTTTCATGGACATTTAGACAGTCCACAGATGATGGGCATCATGGACTCAGTACTCCCCACCCCAAATTATAGGACAAATTCTGCACACATGCACCTAAGAGCATTTCTCTGAGGAGAACATAAGTTTGCATCAGCTTCTCAAAAAGGTCCGTGACCCACCAAAGCTTAAGAGCCCACAGAGCTTGAGCCTGGTTTCCCAGAGGACTGAAATCATGAATGACAAAGACCAAATGGAAAGTGGGGATCTGGGGTAGAGAGGGCACCAGCAAGGTGGCCACGCATGAAGGCAATGCTGTCACTGGGCCCTCCCCACCACCACCCCACCACATGCCTCCCCATCCCCCTGCCAACAACCTCAGCTGGGCCAGGAGCCCCGGTGGTCCTGACGCCCCCCTCTTTGGCCCCGCCTAGGCTCAGAGGATTACCGCAGCAGGTTCAGCAGCGAGTGCTTCATGGACCTTGTCTGCCCCGAGAAGTGCCGCTGTGAGGGCACCATTGTGGACTGCTCCAACCAGAAGCTGGCCCGCATCCCAAGCCACCTCCCTGAATACGTCACTGATCTGTAAGTACTACCTGGGCTGGAACTCCCTACATGTCCCCACACCCATTCACCCTGAACCAGCCCAAGCAGGGTCCTCTGGAAGCAGCCCCCTCCCGGCTCAGTCACATGGGCACTCCGTGGCTGTCCTCTGCATCCTTGGCACAGGATAGACACCTAGGCATCCCCTCCCCGCTCCCCAGGAATAGCTTCCTCAAACATAAAGACAGTCCATTCGTTATACAAATATTTTCTGAACACCCTCCGTGAGCCAGGCACTGTGCTAGGCCCATCAGCCTCCACAATGAACAAAGCAGATGGTCCCCCCAGTTCCTTACTAAGCTTACAATATAATAGAAAGATGGCTATAAGTAATTGTCAAAAGCGAGAAAACACTAAAATGATTAGATCTATCTGAGCCTCCAATTATCCATGCTAATAAAAGGATGTGTTGGTTGGTCCACAAATGGAAGAGCTAAAAAGCTACAGCATGGTCGGGGTGAGGGCACAGCATGTGCGGAACCAACACACCTGGGTCTGAGTCTGGTCTTCTCCAAGTTTCCTCACATCAAGCATGTTGCTTCTCAGGTCTGAGTGTCCGATTCTTAGCTATAAAATGGAAGTGATGGTGCCTACCTCCTAGGGGGGTTAAGAGGATCAAGTAAGAGAATGCAAAGCACAGAATTCATATTGAACCATGCATGGCATGGGCAAACCCAGCATAAATGATGGTGGTCTTCATTATTAGTGTTGTTAGTGTGAGGGTTCTCTTTGACTTTACACATCCCAGGGGCACACAGTGAGGCAGCGCCTTTCGGCCCCTCCTTCTCTCTGACTTTTCCCCAGCTCCGCTGACCTCAGCTGAGTGTGAGGTCCTGGTGGCAATTCAGCTCAAGCCATGGGGGAGCTGTGGGAGGGTCCCACGGAGGGCAGCAAAGGAGGTGCCCCATCCTCAGCTCTCCCACTACCTTGTCTGCTTATTTCCCATGCAGGCGACTGAACGACAATGACATATCTGTCCTAGAGGCCACTGGGATCTTCAAGAAGTTGCCCAACCTGCGGAAAATGTAAGTCAGCCTCGGGAACTTAGCAGCAGCCTCCAGGCCCTGGCCAGGGTCTGTGCTGCAGACTACAGCCGTGTGCCAAGGCATTGGTAGCCCCCTCACCTCTGCTCCAGCCCTTCTCAGCCTCCTCCTGACCCCACACTGGGCATGTATTTAGAAGTAGGACAGGAAGGCACAGCCATACAGAGACAGACCAAAATGAAACTTCACTGTTTTTACATTGTCAGTTATTCTGCAGATCATGCATTCTACAGAATCCCTAAGTCTCCAGGTCCCCTCTGTTCATCCTGATCCCCCACACCCAACACCTACCCCAAGGAGGGTTAAGAGGGACTCAGGTAAGGTCCAGCAATGGAACTCAGAGGTCTAGGGTGCACATCACTTCGTACTTTTTACAAGGTGACAGGTGAAAGGTCTGTTTCTAGATGGCCTCTAGAGGCTTCTGCATTAGACCTTGGAACAGAAACACCAGATGTCTTGTATGCCGAGCTGCAGTCTCGGTGTCCCCGGGCCTGAGTGGAGCCTGACATCAGGCAAAGGGTCCACGTGCTTACGCTGGCTTCTCCAATGCCATGGCTGCCTGTCCTCATAACCCTCTCCCTGCCTGGGAGTTTGGGCCAGACAAGAATAATGTGGCTGAGCTAAGGGAGTATTTGTCCCGGGCCAGGGGCCACATTCCCTGCCTCATGCACATCATCTCATGAAGTCCTTATATACCTGCCTGCTGCTGCTTCACACTCCTTTGTGTGGCTGAAGAGGCTGGCAGGGCTCAAAGAGGTTTTATGACTTGTCTGAGACCACACAGCCAATAAATGTCAGAGTTGGCACTCATACGTGGGTTCATCTGTCATCGCACTAGTGTGCAGGTGGGCTCGCTTCCCTTCATCCTCCCTTCCCACGTGCCCTAGCAGAGGAACCAGCACACATGGGGACTCTCTACCATCTAACTCCCTTCTCCTTGGCCCCTCTCCCTACTCTCACCCCAGAGTCCACATCTCCTGGCCCCAGAGTTGGGTTTGCCTGTGGAACAAAGGAAATACAATTAAGCCTCATTACTCACAAATCCCATATTTGCTAATTGGCTTACTCACTGAAACTTATTTGTAATCTCGAAATCAATACAGTGCTTTCATACTCATTTGTAGACATGGACGGAACAGCAAAAAACTTTGAGCCCCCTACATGTTCTCAGCTGAAATCAAAAATGGCCACACATGCTCTGATTTCTTGTTGTGGCTCTCGGACTGTAAATAGGTGTCCTTTTCACAGTATATTTGGTGCCACATCCTTTCACATGTTTATGCTTTTTGTCAGTGATTTTGCTATTTAAAGGGCCCTAGTTTTAGATCTTTGCATAGTGCTGAAGGGCTATCTAGCCTTCCTAAGCACAAGAAGGCTGTGATGTGCCTTATGGAGAAAATGCGTGTTACATAGCTTTGTTCAGACATGAGTTATAGGGCTGTAGGCTGTGAGTACAATGTAAATAAATCAGCGGTGTATATTAAAATAAGGTGTCTTTAAGCAGAAACACATATCAAACAATGTTATGTATTGATCAGCTGATGAAAATGTTGTGACCAGAGATTCACAGGAACCTAACCCTGTATTTCCCCTAGGAGCAATGGTTCAGCATTCCCTAATTCATTTTTCCCCGGTGACTTTATAGAATATAGCCACCATGAATAATGGGAACTGACTGTAACCCTTAATTTTTGTATTGTTCTTCAGTCTTCCCCCCTATCAGTCCCCTGCAGGCAAAGAGGAGAAAGACCTTCCCCTGCCCTGTGCAGTACCCTCCTCCTTCCCTCCCTGCCCACGGCCACCACCTTGCCCATGGCCTGGCAACTGCTCTGTAACTGGGAGCAGTAGCACTCTGAAGGGACAGATGAGAGAGGGACACATGTGGGTCCTGGTGAGGATTGTGGCTGCCTGTGTGTCAAGCTTCAGAGGCCAAGCATAGTACATCACCCATCACCTGCAAGGAAATGCCCTTTTGAATTCAAACTTGAGAAAGGTGTGCTTTTTTAAACCTCAAAACAGAAACTTCCATGTATATGGAGATAAGGCAGGTATTAAACTGAGTAAGGCTAGCCAAGTACATATCTGCACAGTAAACAGGATCAAGTAGTATTTGCTTCCATAAAGAAATATTATGCCCACACACACCATGTTCAGTGGAGCTCACGCACTTTGAGTCGATCTTTCATCTTCCCATTTGTAACAGGGATGGGAGAACAGAGAACCATTTCTGTGCACCAAGAAAACAATAGCACAAACACAATGATAAGTGGCAACCAACTCCCAGCATCCATATCCAAGCAACAAGAGAGTAGTGGGGACTGTGACAAAACACAGACCCAGTTCTCGCCCAAGGAGGCACCGGTTGCTTGGCTTGTCCCAGTATTTGCCTTGCTGGAATGAAGGTCAGGGTTGCCAGATAATCCCTTCAGCAGCCAGAAATCCATGTGTGGGGAAAGAACAGACCTGTGTTTCTTCCGAGTTCAGCTCTGTCCCTCTCCTGCTGTGTGACCCTAGGAGTGTCCTTAGCCTTGCTGAGCCTTAGTTATATTATTTACATAATAGGCATAAATCTGCCTTCCTTGTAAGTTATGATGAGGATCAGAAATAAGTATGGGAGCGCCTGGGTGGCTCAGTCGGCTAAGGGGCCATCTCTTGATTTCAGCTCAAGTCATGATCCCAGGGTTCATGAGATTGAACCCCATGCTCAGCGAGAGCTGAGAATACCTGCTGGTATTCTCTCCCCCTTTGCCCCTTCCACACTCATATTCACTCTCTCTAAAAATAGATAAATAAACATTTTTTTAAAAATAAATAGGGGTGCCTGGGTGGCTCAGTCAGTTAAGCATCTGACTCTTGTTTTTGGCTTGGGTCATGATCTCGGGGGTTTGTGGGTTTGGGTCCTGCTGTCAGCACAGAGCCTATTTAGGATTCTGTCTCTCCCTCTCTCTGCCTCTCCCCCGCTCACACTGTCTTTGTCTCTCTCAAATAAAATAAAATAAAATAAAATAAAATAAAATAAAATAGAATAAAATAAAATAACTTAAATAAAACAGGAGTTGCAAATTCAAATACTTTCAGGACCCAGGAAGTAGCACAAATGTGGAAAGGAGCTGGGTACAGGGCAGTGTTAATAATAACAATAATAATAGCTAGCCATTAATGGTTACTAAACACTGTACTCTGCCCCAGACTGTACTGATACTAATCCATTTAACTCCCACCAAGAGAACCAAAAAAGCTTTGAGATTGTTTCCTTTTACAAATAAGGAAGCTGAAACATACAAAGCACCTTACCCAAGGTTAAAACTCAAGCAGCAAGGGCATCTGGGTGGCTCAGTCAGTTGAGCATCCAACACTTGATTTCAGCTCGGGTCATGATCTCATGGTTCATGAGATCAAGCCCGTGAGATTGAGCCCTGTGTCTGGTTCCGTGCTGACAGTGCAGATCCAGCCTGGGATTCTATCTCCCTCTCTCTCTGCCCCTCCCCCCACCCGTGCTAGTGCTCTCTTTCAAATAAACATTTAAAAACAAAAACAAAAACTGAAGCTGCAACACCAGCAGTGGTAACAGTGGGGAATGCATGCGTCTCTGAAGGCCGTAAATGCATGTGTGCACATGTATGTGTGCATAAATGCATATGCATAGTGCTAGCCAACCAAGCAAATGACCCGTGGAGCAGATCTGGTCCCAAAGACCACCGGCTACAACGAGTTATTTAAAATAATGTGACGGCAACTCTTTTTGTTAAGGCCCTTAAACTGGGACCCATCACCAGCCCTATATCCCTTAGAGGTTGTGGCTCTCAACTGGATCAGAGTAAGGTTAAAGCCAGCAGTGCCTGTGCCCGAGTCGGCCAAGCTCCCCTAAGGACTGTGGGGTTACACTCTCGACCTGACCCTGACAGGGCACAGGGGCCAAGGAGAAGGAACATAAAATCAGGTGTTTAAGCTCCATGGTGCGTGCCTTTCCAAACCCTGTCTGAAGCTCTGTGCCTTCACCTGTCCTGTTAGAATCATGAGATCTCCATGAGTATCACATGTACTAAGTATACCAAAAAGAAAAAAAAAATGTATAAGCCATTACCCAAAAGGTTTATTAGTACTGTGATAATTCAAGGTGACTCTTCAAATGAAGGAAGTCACATGGACTACAGTCCTCAGGCAGACTTCTATGTCAGTCCTTATTGTGAAGGAGAATCTCAGCCACAGGCTAATGCCCAGCAGCCCTCTAGCCTAAATCAGGTATACACAGGTGGATTTGTTGGCACTAGTTGTGTTTTTAATAAGAATTAGTTGCCCACTTTTAAAAATCAGGATTGTTCACACAAACAAAAATCCAAATTTCTGGCATCTTTTGGAAAGTCAGAAGATCTGGCAAAACATGGCCTGCATTCCCAAATGGCTGTTGAAGTGGAGTTGAAGTGAGGGGCAGCCTCCCCCTTAAATAGGGCCTGTGCTTTCCTGGTCGCTGGGCTTGTGGCCTGTGCTGTCCCCACTGGACTTGCTTTCTACTTTAAGTCACCATCCTGGGCCCTGGGGACATTTGAGCTTGTGACCCCAGCTTGAAATAGAATTTCTACCTCAGGGGGAGGGAGAGGTTCATAAAAAGGTGGATAGGACCTCCCTGACCTGACAGTGTGCCAGAGTGCTCTTTCATTATGACCCAGTATCCCCAGTTTCTAGAAAAATCCACATAGCTCTCTCCCCACTACGTTTTCGTCTGGGACTGGGCTTTAAACAGGATTACAGATGCTTGCCTGTTGCCGGAGTTTATGCACTGTCTTACGAACCATGGGCTAGAAGAGGCCTGGGCTTGCCTTCTCAGACTCAGGCTTCCCAGGGGTAGCTAGACGAACCCCAGCCTACAGGGGCCTCAGTGTTTCTTGGGAAGATGAGAAGAAGGTCTGAAAGGTACAGGTTCACTGGGGCTGTCCTGCCTCTGCCCCTCTGAACTGACCCCAAGTCTGCATAGTGTCCAAGGCTGGACTCTTTCAAGTGTAATATCCCATCCACATCAGAGTCAAAGCCATGATGTAGCCATATTCCTTCAGGTCCATTGGTGGAGACAAAAATGGAGAGAGGCCTCCTGAGTGGTCCTGGTTTTACATCCTGGGGTTCCTGGGATCTGGGGTGTCTTCAGGAAGATCCTGCTCTGAGAGTAAGACAGAGTTCCTACAAAACCCTGATGTCCTTGTTTTGTGTATGGAGTGCTTGCCTCAAGCTGCCTATAGGTTTGAGCAGTGCTTTGATGAATGGAGAGACAACAGCAGCCTGGTCTTCTGGAAAATTCTATCCCCTCCTTTTGTGCTCTCCTTATGTTTTCCCTTCTCCCAGCCTGAGGAAATCCAATTCACAAACCTTACAGTAATGTGATGTTAATTTTGTTCATTTAAAGAAACAGATGTCAGGAAATGGGAGCCCTCCCCCTTCATGGCTGCTTTAACTCATCTTCATTGCCTGTCCTGTGTACTTTAATTCCCCAAGGAGCCTAACTCTCTGGAGCAAACTCCGGCTCCTCTGGCATTCAGATGAGTTATAGCTGCTGGGAGAGCCTTTATCTCTCCTCCCATGTCTAGTTTGGGGGTAATTTGCAGTCTCCCCAGTGCATTACCTCCATTCCTGGGTTATCCTGGACCAGGACTACCAGCATTTATAAGAAAGCAGGCTGAATTTAAGAAGAGCCAGTCAAGGGTACAGAGCAGAAATCCAGTTAGAGTCTCCCAGCTCTCTCAGACCTTGGGGGAAGGATGCTGAGGAGTATTGCTCCTGGTTCCCAGGCAGGGCAGAAAGTGGGAGGAGAGCAGGGCTATGACAGGAGCACTAAGGGAGCAGTCAGAGCACCAGCTGTTTCTTCCGCACCTGTGCACAGGTGTGAGCACTGCCATGCCTTGCGGGACCAGTCCCTGCCTGGAAAGAAGGCAAGGGGCTGGCGTCAAGCCCACGGGTGCCCAGTTCCATCACTTGCTCGGAGCCAGCTGATGAGGGAGGCTTCATCCCCTGGGGTTGCCATGGCTGAGCCCAGAGCTGCGTGAGACCGGTGCAGGAGAGAAACACAAGTACCAGGAACTCAGGGTGCTACTCCGGGACCTGGAGCCACATCCTCACCTGTCTGGGCCTCAGTATTCCCAGCCGTAAAATGCGCCAGCTTGTTCATTTCCGGTGACCCCTCGGTCCCAACCACATCAGTGTGCTTAGTGGGTTAGTAGGCTTCTTCTGCACCTGCAGATGTCACTGTTCACAAAACACTATTCCCTGTGCCAGGCATTTGCTCCAGAGACTGGATTCTTCCCCCAGTTTGTGTAAACACCATCACTTTCCACTCCATCCATCCTGCCCGGAATGCATTTCAGGCCTGACCATTTTGGGTGGTCCATGGAGACCCCCTGCCAGGAAGAGCCCGGAGGGACTCCCAGCATCAGTGGCCCTGCAGGATCTCTCATGAGGCCTGGCATGTGGCGATCAGACATCTGAGGGAAAGACCATCTTTCAGAGCTCAGGGGCAGACTCAGAAGGGGCAGTCCCAAGACTTGATAGGACCAAGGTTGCTAGGACTGTAAGAAAATCCAATACCCCAAGCTCTGAATTCTGCAAAGCAGTAAGGATGGGTGTGAGTATCCACATCACCAAAGGAACATTCACTCGAGAAAGAGGCAGCTCCCTGGAGGACTTTTTATGCACCAGAAAGCGGGGACCCAATCTCTTTTCTATCAGCGCGTGACTTTGGGCAAGTTACTTAATAAACTCTCTGAACTTCAGTTCCTCATCCATAAACTGAGACAATGATAATATACATTAATATTCCTCTGAGAGGCATTATTTTAAGGATTCGATGTGATTCCGTGGTCCTAACCCCTCACACGGAACCTAATACATAATCAATGCTAAAAAAGTAGTAACCAGAAGGTATCCATTTACATCGAGGATCTCAACTGTAGAGCTGGAAGTTCTGCAGATGTCCCACCCCCACTGAGGGCACATTTTGTGTTTTTGTCCTGCCCCCCACTTGAGAAGCACTGCTTGGCTAGAGCTTCTGTTGAAGGGAGAAAATCAGTTTTAGAAGCACCATTTTAAATCTGCTCATCCCCAGGGAAGAGGAACACCCTGAAAAGACTTTAAGCTCCACACGGCCCATGTCACACAGCAACCCCACCTGTGTGGATTGGGGTCCCTGCTCCACGGCCGCAGGTGCTGAAGACCATACCTCAGGAAGCCCCACCATCCAGTCCTTGTCCAGAGGTGCCTGAGAGTCCCCACTGGCTGCAGGGCTGACGATGCCCTTCCTGCACCCTGCCCCACTCTGTCCCCTCCTTCTAGAAACCTGAGCAACAATAAGATCAAGGAGGTGAGAGAGGGTGCCTTTGATGGAGCGGCAAACGTGCAGGAGCTGATGCTGACCGGGAACCAGCTGGAAACGGTGCATGGGCGCATGTTCCGCGGCCTCAGCAGCCTCAAGACCTTGTGAGTGCCCAGGGCCTGGGCCAAGTCCCAGAAGGGGAAGGGAGGGCAAGGGCATCAGAGGGGGATTACAAAGGCTGCCGGGCAGCTCCTGGGCCCAGGTCTGTCCTGACCTGTTGAGTGCCTTTCTTCCTGGAGCCAGAGAGGCGCTATACATTTCCCAATCCTTGATGGGAAAGAACTTAGCACCCTCAACACACACACACTGAAAGATACTTGCCCTAAGCTGTACACATATATAGATTCGTACTGGAAACATGCTGATAGAGGCACATGCACGTTTACCCACATAAACACATACATACATATGCCTAACAATGATACACAGTATGCACATAAGCACATACACAAATAAGCATGTACATACAGGCGCACACACACACACACACACACACACACACACACACACACACACTCAAGCTGATGTCCACAGCCACATCTTGATTCTCCTTTCTCCTCCCAGAAATATACATGCATACACTAACCACCATACAACATACATGTGTACACACATACACTCCTGACACCCAGTTTCACTGTACACAAAGCAAGCACAGGCAAGAATGTACGTACACATTTACATACATGTAGCCCCGGTGCGGACCCAGACCCTACTATCACAGAACAAACCTCAGCAACATGACTAGTCTGGGCTTGGAGTTGGCATCCCACCTACACACACACACACACACACACACACACACACACACACACACACACACACATTGTAGCTCTGTGGTGGGGAGGAGAAGATAATGCCTGTGCTCCCCTCATCTCCACCCCTCTTGTTGCAGGATGCTGAGGAGTAACCTGATCAACTGTGTCAGCAATGACACCTTTGCTGGCCTGAGTTCAGTGAGGCTGCTGTCCCTCTATGACAATCGGATCACCACCATCACCCCTGGAGCCTTCACCACACTTGTCTCCCTATCCACCATGTAAGTCCCCCTGTGCCCACTGCACACTGACTCTGGGCCCCTCTCCTGCAGACCTCTTCCCTGGCAGCTCGCTACTATCTTTGGCCAAGGTTATTTACCCATTTTTCAACTTAATAACCATTTGCTAGGCCCCCTCCATGTGCCAGGCACCATCTAGGTGCTAAGGATTCACAGACATGGTCCCTCCTTCCTGGAGCTCACAGAATAGTAAATTGACACAGAAGGGAGGTCCACAGTAATATGAAAACCCAACACAGGCTTTGTTAAGGAACACTGGAGCTGTGTTCTGGAAGGTGGGTAGGAGTTAACTTGTTCAAGAAAGTGGGAAGTGCTTCCATGGAAAGTGCTTTCCTTCCATAGAAAGAATGTGTGCAAAGGCCCTGTGGTAGGTTGTTGCAGAGCAAATGTACAAGACTGAGCAAAGTCCAACATGGTCCAGAGCACAGAGTAAGAGAGGGTGAGATATGGGCACCTGGGTGGCTCAGTTGGTTAAGCATACAACTCTTGGTTTCAGCTCAGATCATGATCTCATGGCTCGTGAGTTTGAGCCTCGTGTCAGGCTCTGTGCTAGCAGCGTGGAGCCTGCCTGGGATTCTCTCTCTCTGCCCCTGCCCTGCTCTCTCTGGGAGACCAGGCTACAGGCCTGCCATGGACTACTTTTATCTTCATCCAATGCATGTCAGGAAGCCATGGAAGGTTTTAAGCAGGCCAGTGACATGACCTGACAGGGATTTTTTAAATGATGCCTCTGGCTGCTTAAATGTATACCAGAACCAGAATTAGACTCTAGCTCTCAGGACACCTAATGAGTGCTCCTGCCCAGGAGCACTTTTACTATATTGGTAAAAGGGGCTGTTTAGAATAGTGATAAAGTGATGGGCTCTAGAGCCAAAGCTCCTGGGTTCAAATCCTGGCTTTATGTCCTATTAGCTACGTGACCTTAGAAAAGTTACTTCGCCTCTCAGTGTTTCAGTTGTTCCTTCGGTAAAATCTGTCTGGTAGGATTGTTATGAGGATCGAATCTGCTAATATTTGTAAAACGCACAGCAGGGGCCTGAACACGTGAGCCTTTATGGTTGTTCCTAGTACTTCTATGTGGCTCCTTTAACCTCAGGTGCTGGTCCATTCACTCTTTCCTTCCCCAGTGACTCTGGAAGTCAGAAGAGAAAGGCTTTTGCTGCATTTGTATTGCTGCCCATTGTTATGTTCCCATACACCTGCCTCACTGGGAATAAAAGCCAAATTGTAGGGGTCCTAAAAAGCCCATGCCATCCAGTCCCTCCAAAGCTCCCTCCAGGCCAGCCCCACCAGCCTCCCTACTGCCCCCCCCCCAATCCACCGCACCCCGGACCCACTCCCACTACCTGAAACGGCCTTCCCCTGGCCTCCCTCCCCACCATCCATTCTTTGCTTAAGTGTCCATCGCCTCGCCCCACTCTCCTCCTGTGCCATCACCCCCAGTTCCTCAGCCCTGCTCTCCTTAACCTTTTCCGTAGCACTGACCATTCCCAATATACTATTACAACTGACCTTTGTGTTGTTGATTGTGCACTGTCTGCCTCCCATCAGCTGGAATGTAGGTTCCAGGACAGGAATGTGCAGCTCTTCTGTGCACTGCTATATCCTCAGTGTCTCTATCTGTGCCTGGCACTAAGTAAATGCCCATTATATAACTGGTGAATAAACCGATGCATTGAATGAATGAGTGACAGCCAGACCAGGGACTGTGGGTTAGGAACTAGCACCAGCAGGTTGGTTTATTTGAGCCTTCTTTTTACTCCTCCTGTTTGCCTCCAAACTGGGAATCCAAAGACACAAAAGATGTCAAGAGAGGTAGAGTCACAAAGCACTAAGGAAACCAGCTTCAACATGAGAGGAAACTTGCCTGACTTCATGCAGCTGCTGAACATCAGCTCTAGGATTCAAACCCGGGATGTCTGACTCCCAAGCTTTTAATTGTCCTGTCAGACCACAGCCATTCAGGGCTGTCTGGCCTCTTGTGTCACCTCCCTAAGCTTTATTTTCCTCATGTGTGAAATGAGAATAATGTTACCTCCTCCCCTGGGCTGCTGTGACAAATCTGCATGGGAGAACAGCTTTATGAATTGCTTAGCCCAGTTGCAGTCCTCTGGGCGACACTCACAGCCTGACAGCTGCCCTCCCCGATTCCTCCACCAATCCACTCACTGCATTCCATAGGTACCCGTAAAGAGGCCGTGCTGGTGCCATGCGGGATCCTGGAGACATCGGGCAGACAGACAGGGCTGACCCCCACCTGGGAGAGCTGAGAGTCTACGGAGGGAGGCAAACATTGCCTGTGGGTTCTGTGCAGGCAGCAGACAACTGGGGGAGAAGACTGGGACAGGCAGGACTCCTCATTTCCTTTTAGGGGAGGGGCCATCTGAGCCAGGAATGAAGCCAGGCCAACACAGAGAGATTTATGCCAGGAGAGGGGGCAGCGGTGTGGAGGTGCTAAGTGTAAGAGAATCCTGCCGAGGGATTGAAGACAGCCAGCAGCCCGAGCCCAGGGAGGAAGGGAGGGCGTGTCAGGAGACCGAGGTTGGGTCTGTGTGTGGAGGTCCCGGAACAAGGCCCTTGCAAAGACTGCATCTGGATCTTAGAAGAGAGTCTGCACTTCCTTCCCCAGATCTCCTTCCTCCTTTATCAGAACCCAGAGCCGGCCTGCCTGGAGAGCTGGGCCCCAGGCTTGCAGACCTGGATCCCAAGTCCCACTCCCACGGGGGTGGGGGGTGGGGGTGCTGACCACTCAGAGAGAGCCCTTCTTTCCTCTCAGAAACCTCCTGTCCAACCCCTTCAACTGCAACTGCCACCTGGCCTGGCTGGGCAAGTGGCTGAGGAAGAGGCGGATCGTAAGCGGGAACCCCCGGTGCCAAAAGCCTTTCTTCCTCAAGGAGATACCCATCCAGGATGTGGCCATCCAGGACTTCACCTGTGAAGGTGAGAAGGCTGGGGGCGGGGTGGAGGAGGGGTAGTGCCAGGGAAGGCAAGAAAGACACCAGAGAGGGGAGGTGCAGCAGGGGACTGAAGGTCAGGACCCCGTGAGATCTCACTTGCCCTCAGGCATGCATCTGTGGCTCTGAAGGCCTCTGCAGGTCTGCTGCTAGCCATATGGCTCCTTCTTACAAATTAAGAAAAGGAGCCTCTTTCTAAAGACATTTTACTTCTGTCAATCAGAAATGTGTTGTAATATACTGATTTTGTTAAAACAAGATGACTTATGACTATCTATGAGAATGCTGTTGTACTCAATATTCTAATCTATCATGTCAGTGAGATTAGTGCCCCTTGAATGATGAGGCACCCTTGTGCAGTATGTAACCTACACAGCTGTGCCTGGGAGCCCAGGCCCTCAGTTTTCCTGTCTGCATCATGATGAGGCTCCGAGTATCAGACTTCAACATGGGCTCCTGGAAATTTTCTGTCACTGGCTAGGGAGTTATGAATACCTGGAGATCCAAGGCTTTGAGTGTCAGGATTCCAAAGGGCATGTTTGCATAAATTCAAGCCAGTACTTGGGTCAACTATAGGTTATCTGGAGACAAATTAACAGGTTTGTAGATTAACTGAGGTTAAGGTATAATGGGGGCTGGGGACACATTTACCACTCCAGAGGGATTATGGCAGTGGAAAGAGTGAGAAAGGGAGGAGAAAGAGGAAGGAAGGAGACCAGACTCTCCCCCTCCCCCAGACCTCTCCTTCAGTAAGGTTGAATTATTCCTGATTCAGTTAACCATGACCTCTTTCCTGCCTAATACTCTGGTTGGTCAAGTTTTGGTTTGGTTTGTTTGTTGGGGGGTTTTTTTGAGCCTTAATTTTATGTTGAATGTGGTAGAAGACAGGTGACCCTATTCCCCAACCCAAGCACACATCCTTTTCCCTTTAACCATTGGTGAGACCAGCAGGCTCCTTGTTCCTGGTTCTGGCTCCAAATGGAGGGCTTCCCTTCCCGAAGATGGCGCGGTGCCTGGCGCCTGGCCTTGCTCACCTGCCTCTGCAGAGAGGTTTGTCTCCCGCCCCGCTCACTCTGGGGCTCTCCGCAGGCAATGACGAGAGTAGCTGCCAGCTGGGCCCACTCTGCCCGGAGCAGTGCACCTGCGTGGAGACGGTGGTGCGGTGCAGCGACAGGGGGCTACACACCCTACCCAGAGGCATCCCCAAGGACGTGACTGAACTGTGAGTACTGCCACCCCCCGCTGAGCACTCTTAGATGCCCCCCACCAGCAGCTCTGTCCCCAGTGTCTCAAGCAAGACTGCCTGGGATGCCCCTCTTTGAGGGGGTCCCAGCAAGATGGCAGCAGGGCCTCGGCCAAGGGTGGGTCGGGCAGCAGCGTGGACTTGGGAACAGGAGTAACTCCTCCCCAGTGCCTCTGCCTGGCAGGTGACCAGAACCTAGCCCTCCAGAATGCAAGCGGGAGGGTTCCTGTCTCGTCTTCTAGATCACCCCAGGCCCCCTGCTCTGACTCCACCTTCTAGATTCCCCAGCAGTCTCTCAGTCTGACACCAGAAATGGCACAGGATCATCATAAAAACACTGCCCAGCTGGCACTGTGGCTTACTGAGCTCTTCCACCAATATGATCCTTTTCCACCTTAAAGCTACCCATGTTGCAGACGTCATCTTAGTTCTGTATCCTGTTCGTGCTCCAGCCAGGAGCCATCTGACTCCAGAGCCCAAGCTCCTGACACTAATTCCTCAGGGTTGTTCCTGCCCCAGAAGCTCCCACTTAAATAAAAAAGACAGATCATTCCCTTCCTGAAGGGCTCTTCCTATGGTGCAGAAAACTGCATTTCCGCCCCCCGGAAAGCTCAGCCAGTCCCTGGGCAGGGAGGCCTCTCTCGAACGTGCAGAAGCAGCCTGGCCACAGCAGGTGAGCACAGCCAGCACAAGCCACACTCACTCTTGTGTGCGTTCATTCATTCACTCAGCGTGTGTTTATTGAGTGCCTGGTGTGTCGGGCGCTCTGCTCACACCCGGGAGCCAATGGTGAGCAAAACAGGTGTGACCCCCACCCATGTGGGGCCCATGGTTCACTGGGGAACGTGGACATTTGTTCCATCATCTCAGCAGCACATGTGAGATGACACCTTGAAAAGTGCTCCAAGAGAGGAACAAGGTAGTGAAGCCCGAAACTAGAGAGGCGTCACTTGGGTGTGGAAATCAGAGAAAGCTTCTCGGGGGAGATTAAGCTGGAGCTGAAACCTACAGGGTGAGGAGAAGGTAATGAGCAGGGGAAGGGGGTGCCCCACACGCCCCACGGCAGTTGCTGCAGGTTGGGGCAAGCAGAGCTGGGTGACACGTGACGGGACCCAGGCTGCCTGAGTGAGAAGACACACTCACACGCCATCACCCACTCACATCTCAGGCTCGTACTCTCTCCCTGGATCCCAGACACCAGCAGGGAGTGTGTGTCTGGCACTGCCCTTGCTTGCTGGGGAGGAAGCTGAGTAGGGAGCCGTCTGAGAAGAGCGGGTCAGCTCCTGGGTGTGAGTTGTGGCTCCCCCATCTCCTGACACCCAGGGAGGTTGCAACCAGGACTGATGATCCCAGGGAAGGAAGGAAGTCTTGGCGGTCACTAAGAAGTCCACAACAGCCCCGCGTTTGGGCCCTGGCCGTGCTGCTGGAGGTCTGCATGAGCAACGCCACTCAGTGCAGTGAGCTCCGAGCCCTTTCCTCAGCCAGCAGTGCCGATGGGTGGGGGCTGCCGAAAATGACCCAGGTCCTCGCCTCCTTCTTGGGTCAGTTGAATGCCAAGTGACACGTGCTAAGGAGAAGGAAATGCCATGAAAACAGGCCCACAGAGGCTTTTCCCCAAAGTTCATGACACAGAGATTGAAATAACAAAGATAATTGGCTGTAATTATAAGTAAACTTCAGAGCTTGGGGAAACCTGATTTCCTGCTTTGGAAATGATGGTGCTTCCCTTGGCCACACTGGTTTCCAAAGCGCACCAAGGACGGTAGCCCTCACCTCTGAGCCCAGACCACCTCCCGGAGGGAGGGGAGGAGGAGTGTCCAGGGAGGGGAAGGCAGGAAAATTGATGCCAGAGACAGAGAAAGCTGCCAGGCCCAGAAAACAGTGGCTTGGAGGCCCCCGCTTTCAAGGACTAGATGCAGTGTTTGGATCCAGTGCTGGCTTTCCAGCTCCCTCAGGCATCATCCGTGGTCTCAGGCAGAGCTGCCAACTTACAAAACAAAATTAAGGTTAATTCATTGAGAAGAAAAAAACAAAAACAAAGCTTCGTAGCATTTCTCCAAAGGGCAGGGTGTGGGAGTTCAGTGTAGGCACTAGTGAGCAAGGCAATGAGAACCAGAGGGAAGTCAGTTCTCCTGCCAGCCGTCTGCAACCCCCTGGCCCTTCTCTCTCCTTGGGAGGAGGGCCGCCCGAGACCTGTAGCTCTCCCCTTTGCTCATTCAAGCTGTCACCGAGCTAGGCCCTCACTCAGTACCCCTGACTCACCTCAGTGGTGAGAACTAAGTCACCCCCCAAGCCTCACCTCTGGTAAGCAGCCGAGTCACGATCAGAAGGCACTTTGGTCTGACCCCAACCCCCTTCTCTAGCCCCCTACCCCAGAAGCTCTTCATCTTTGGGGTCTCAGGGCCCCTTTATGTTTTTCAAAAGCAGTGAGGACTCTCATTGAACTTTTGTTCACGTGCTTAAATCTGTTGATAGCACATTGGAAACTACTACTGAGAAATATTTTTAAACGTGTTTATTAATCCATTTAGAAATAAAAATTTACACATTATATGTCTGTATTAAAAAAAAAAGCATACTTCTATGAAAACCAAACCAAAAGACATTTAACTGAGAAGAGTGACATTTTTAGAAATGTAGTTGAAGGCAACTGGGTGTTCATTTCCTACTTCAGCACTCACTCTGTTGTGACAGGGTTTGGGGTCAAGTACGAGAAGAAAATCCAGCTTCACATAGACACATAGTTGAAAAAGGGAGAATTTTAATAGCCATTCCAAATAATTGTGGAGATTCTTCTTTGATAATATGCCAAAACCGCATGGTGTTACAGGCTAGTTGCTGTGTGGAACCTAAAAGTTTATCAATGAACTTTTTATACTCTGTTACAACCCACGGGTCTATCTTGTGCTTTGAATGGAGCTTTCCCTGCCCCGTGCATGATCTTGTAACACTGTGCCCTGGTCCTTTAGTAAATACTGGTTCACAGAGTTACACAGATCTTCGGATGCTGACACATTGCATTATACCGTATCAAAAATGTCGGATCCAAAATGTCATAGCCATTAACATGCATCACCAGAAATCTCAGCAGAAGAGTCTTTCAGTAAAGGGATGCTGCTCAATGTAGCCGATATGGGTTTTCTAAAATTTTAATTTTCACTTGGAAGCAAGCTTGAATTTTTATCATTGCCAGTAAGTACTAGTTCGTTGTTTTCCTTGAAGTGACAGACTCACTCTGTTCACTTTTGAGAAATTACTTACTAAATACCTATCCCTGAAAAACCTGTTTGCTAGTCATTCTTTTAAGTAACAATGGTGTTTTATGGGGGGGAAAAAAGGCTAATTCAGCTTGTAAGTCAGTGACACCAGATCTTTTTCTTAAGACAACCAAAGCAGAAAAGCTTTGTGCATGCCTCCCATTTTGCCACACAGAATATTAAAAAAAAGATGTATGCTCAAGCGTTGATATTTAATGCAATTAATAGTTTTTTTACTGCTTCATGGAGGGCATTCTTCCGTGAAACTGGCTTTTTTTTCCCCTTACTGTCATGTGCTTGAGGGGGAAGAACATAATGACCACTGATATCATATGGTGCCATGGCCTTGATTCCTACTGAGGTGCCAGCAATTTTACTCACACAGTGAAAATGGAAAAAAAATGTTTTAATCTTATCACAAAAGTAGTTCCAGCCTCAGAGAGCCCTGAAAAAGTCTAAAGGACCCCCAGTGGCCAGTAGACGACACTTTAAGAACCCCTTGGGTAATTTACACACTAGCAGGCAAACAATACAGAGACATCTGCTAAGTTCCTGATTCAAAACCAAGCCTACAAGGGCACCTGGGTGGCTTAGTCAGTTGAGCATCCAACTCTTGATTTCAATTCAGGTCATGATCCCAGGGTCCTGGGATCGAGCCCCATGTCAGGCTCCATTTTGAGAATGGAGGAAATTTTGAAACTGATTTTGGTCTGAGGGCCGTGAGCATGGATTTGTTGTCCCACCACTGACATCCCAAGGACAGGAGAGGGAAGGATGACATGTGTCCCCCAGGCACCGCTGTTGGAAGAAGGGATTTCTGCTGGGATGCGGAGTCTGAGGACATCAGGCTGGCAGTGTGTGCATGCACATGCACACACACACACACACACACACACACACACAGCACTGATAGGAGACTTGAAAGGGTTTGGGGCTTGACCAGCAGAGCACAGGCTGAGACACAGCTCTGTGAGATTAAGTGTGGCAGGAGGTGATGATAAGAATGCATTGCTTGATGGAGACGGTGGGACCTGGCCCTGCACTGGTTAGCTCCAGATCATCAGGATGGGGCTTTGGGGTACAGCAGGCAGCTCAGATGAAGCTTTCTCCTCAAGTCTAGGGCGATGGAGGTGCATGCCAGAGAAGGGGCAGAGCAATGCAGGAGGTGACAAGCACAAAGGAGTGGCATAGAGAGTATGTGTTCTGGGATAGGGAAGAATCCAGGAAGTTCTGCCCACGCTGGCCTTTAGGAAAGCAAGGGAAGATGTCTTGTGTGAGTGCAGTCCACCACAGCCAGCACTCCTAGAGCATTTACTGGGTGCCAGGTGCTATGCTAGATTTTTCTCCTATGTGATCTCATTTAATCCTCCCAGCAATCCTGTAAAGTAGGCATTGATAATCCCATTTTGCACATGAAGTAACCGAGGCTTGGGAAGGTTGAATGATTTCTTAAGATCACACTGCCAAGGAGCAGCAGAGCATTAGGCTCGAGCCCAGGGCTGTCTGACCCCAAGGCCCGTCCTTTAGCAACTCAACTACTTTCTTCCTTTGGAAAGGCCTGGGTCCCTGTGTGCTCTGGCCGGTGGCCTGGCTCGTCAGTGATTTGCAGTAGACAGTCATGGTCTCTTTGGAACCTGCCATCTGCCCATAAGCGGGGAGAAGGCAAAAACGGCACCCCTGCCATGATGCCGTAGGTACCTGTCAATGGTTCTGGCTGGGTGG